AATTGGGGAAAATGACGTTTTGCGCTAAAAATGTGAAAGGTAGGAACATTTTGCGTCGAGAAACGAAACGTAGAGACGTTTTGTACAAAATTCATCAAAGATAGGGACATTTTGCGTCAATTACCCTGAGATAAAGTAATCGAAAAAAAGGGTGCATACTTTCAAAATGCTAATTACATGAAAGAAAATGTACGGTTTTGATCTTATCTAAAGCGAGACAAATTGAAATAGAAAATGGATAATGTTTAGTGAGTTGTGGCCCTGGCGGCATTAGGTAAGTATTAGCCAATGGGCAATTTGATAAGTTGTTCATAGTGGATGGACCATCCAATCAAAAATTTGTCACGAGGACTCGGTTTTCTTGCATATTATTTCACAAAATTGAGGAATGATCCAATGGTCAAGAATCAAAGGTTTAAGAATAAGAAGAAAAATAATATAGCTTCAAAAAATGTAAATGCAAATTAGAGAACCATCCTTGTTTCTTGGATATACATGTTGAAAATTCAAGTAGTTTTTGTAAAATTCCGCTGCTTGTTTCTTTGAAGACGACATCTAATATTTTAAAATTAAATAATGCAAGAAACTACTATTTTCAATTTAAATAACAATAAGGTAACAAATCGTAAGTAACATCATCAAGCATTTGCTCACCACGTGTACCGTTATAAATCAGGCATGGTAAAACTCACCAGACGCTCCCTTTTATATTACTCTAAATGTCAAGCCATCACAAAATGCAAAAGACAATTTTTTTTATATTTTTTAATCAAAAATTTATCTATCGATCTTCATTCAAGCACAAAGACACCCTTCATCATCGCATATCATTTTTTCAGTGGTTAAGCAGTTTGACGTGTAATTATACTAATGAAATAGTATGTCATTATGAGCTCTTGATGATGAATTTCAAGAAAGTTTTATTGCCGACTATATTTAAGAGTATCATTATTGGTTGCTTTTGTTATCTACTCTATTCTTGTCATCGATCTTGCTTTTATTCATATAAATTACTATGGGATTTTGACTGGTGACACGTCCTCCAAATCCAGTCAATTTTAAATATTATTTTTTGTTGCGGGTGCTTTT